TCCCCCACCCACAAAATTTAATTACAAATCAGCCTCTCTTCTGCTGTCTAAACAAGAATTTCACTCACTACAGTTTGCTTCCTTGACGTTCCTTTCCCTCTCCTGGTAAATTCCGACTTGACAAAAGATTTTGAAGATTACATAGCAGACACAAGATCTGAAGGTGTATGGTCTGGGTTATTTCCTTGCTGCCAGCACTCTAAATGTGCAGTCTTTTGTGGGGTTTTTTTGGTGTTTAGTGATTTTGATTTTGTTGTTGTTGTTATTTTTGTTTGTTTGTTTTGTAGGTAGAAAGCCTCACAGCAGCCCGCAGTGCCTTCAAAGCAGGCACAGAGCCTTCAGATGCTATTCGTGTGGTGAATGCTGTACTGACACAAATAGATCAGATTAAAAGGTAAACTCATATTATTGCAACAGCAAAAGGTAATTGACAATTTCAGGATTCCTGCTAAATCTTAATTCCTGCTAGGAATACTAAACCAAATTGGTTAGTGAACTATTCTTTGTTAATTGTGCTAAATGTGGAAAGAACTAGGAGTAATCCAACATTATTTTGCGTGTAATTGAGTGAACAATCAAATCTACAGATGGAATACTTGTTTTAAAGCTAAGGGGAGATTCAGGACAGATCGTCACGATGTCTGCTTTGGAGACAAACGTAAGATCGGTGAAGAATTCATTCATGACTTACAGCTTCTGGATGTCAATGTAAAGCAGACTTGCACAACACACGGCTTAGAAGCAATCGCTAATGATGCTTGGTCCACTTTGCTTGCTGGATTTAGTGCAGCGTACCATCTCTTGTTTTACTCCTGCCACTTCCCTCCCCTTCTTGGGCATACTTGGCTCTGTTCTTGGAAAGAAAGGTGCCCTAGTATTTGCAAGGCTCTGTCTTGCAGCTGATTAAAGCAAAGTGGCTTATTCATACATAAAAGTTCACAGGCTTCATCTCAAAATAGCTATGGTTAAGAATATTCTTTCAGTATTTCTTAGAGCAAGGAGATGTTACTTCTCTTTTAAGCTCACTTTAATGTCATCCACAATTAGAATGTGTCACATTGACACTTAAACTATATACTTTCTACTGAATTGGAATGGAAAGCCTGGAGATTAAAGATTCCAATTTACAAGCCTTAATTTGTTGTTTGGCTTTTTTTGTAGCAGAAACTATGTCGGTAGGCTCTAAATAGCTAATGTATATCACTTCTAAAATAGGGTTGGAGAAACTATGGACGCTTGAGAAACAGCTGAAAGAGCGAGCCTGTGCACTGGACATAGATCGGGGATAACTGGCCGAGAGCTTCAGCTCAGTTAATGTGATTGCTGGCTGAAAAGTGTGGTGGGGCTGCTTGTGTGAAATGGCTTGAGTCGTAAGGGTTCAATTTGCCAGTCATAAAAGGAGATTTTTCTTATACGTATGACCTAAAAATCTGCTTTTGTCTTGAAGGTATCCCAATGTCGTTATCCTGACTACTTCAAACATTACAGAGAAGATTGACATGGCCTTTGTAGACAGGGCTGACATAAAGCAATACATCGGACCTCCATCCACCGCAGCAATATTTAGAATATATCTTTCTTGCTTGGAAGAACTGATGAAGGTAATGTTTTGAAGGCAAGACTGTAAAATGTTGTATTTTACTAAATTTGACATTTTAATACTTCTTAAATAACAAAAATACACAATTTTCATTCCTTCTCTGTATTTCCACTCTTACTGTAGAATTTAATTTTGAATGTGTTTAAGGTTTTCATACAACAGTGTATTACTCTTCTTCCTAGTGTCAAATAATATATCCTCGGCAGCAGCTCCTGACTCTCAGAGAGCTAGAGATGATAGGCTTCGTAGAAAATAATGTGTCAAGGTTAAGCCTTGTACTGAAAGAAATCTCAAGGTAAGATTCTGAAATTCTACATTTAAAAAATATATATACGTGTGTGTGTGTATGTATACATAATGAGTTGTGGAACAATGTCTAAAAATAATTGAATTTCATAAGTGCTAGAGTTCTGAAACATCTCAGGTTTTTTTTCTGTTAGGGTTGGTCCAAAAACCTTTCAGGGGACAAAAAGTGGAAGCGATCAGGATTTGCCAACGTTTCTTAGTCTCAGATCTGGCTTGGCTTAGTCCTGCTTCTGGTTTCTGCTCTGCCCTTTGAAGTCCTCTTGACAAATTGCTGGCTGGCTGAGCGAGATGGCTTAGGTTTCAGTGGATATTGTGAATTGTAATGCAGTTTAGAGAAAATAGCATTGGTCTTAGTTTCTGCTAAGAACGTGTCTTGGAATGCTTTGCAGTCTACTAAGTTTTTAGCATCAAGATAGAAGCGGACAGAAGCAAAGGGGAAAGGAGCGAAGTGTAAATGGGGAGTGTTTGCTAAGTCTGCTGGTAGAGCAAATAGTCTTTCATGGCAGCATAACAATTCTTGAAACAATAAAAATTATATTCACAGTATCAAGCAATATTTTTTTCCAAAGTGCTGGTCCCTGTGGAATAAAATAAAATAACTTTCAGAAAACCAGGACAGTGTGTTTTCCTTCTGTTCCTGGAGGATGTAATTTTAACCAGCAAGGTGTGGAGTAAAAGCAAGTAAGTTTTTCCAGGCATAGATGTTTGGGTTCTACGTGCATAGGGTGGTGCTTGGAGGGGACAGAAGCGTATATTGAGTAGGTGAGGTAAAGGAAGCTGCATGGAAATGGTGGGAAGGAGGAGATAAACAGTAGCTGTGAGGTCCCACCTTCAAACCAAATTTTTCAGGCCCTTCCAGGTGCGGAGGGACTGTATGGCACGTCCGTACCGTGCCCTTTCAGCGCGGGCACCCCCGGGACTCCTGAGGTGTGGCGCCGTGGCGTGAGGGGCACGACGCAGGCTGAGGCAGGCCAACGGGACTGGGCTGTGTCCGTGCCCTTCCTTGCTCTTCTGCACTGAGCAGCCTCCCGGAGGCTGAAGGTGTTGTTCCCTTCCTGCTGCTGCTAGCAGCGCTGCAAGTGACCTGCTGAGTTGTGATCTGAGGGGGTTTAGAGCAGCTTGTGGAAGAAATGCAAAAAAAGGAAAGGTCTTCTTTAAAAAGTGGATATTTAGCATTTAAGCAGCACTTGTCTCTGTTTTACTGTAGAAGAAGCGAAGGTCTTAGTGGCCGGGTCCTGAGAAAGCTTCCGTTCCTAGCACATGCACTTTATATTCAAGTAAGTTTATTCTGTTCATTACATTCTGGTTTGGTTTTGAGACAGGTGGGAAGACATTTGGCCCCTGCCTGAAGTAAAAGATTGGGCCTGAGACCCCCTTTTAATCTAAAATCCGCTGTTTCGGCAGCTTTGTTGAGTGAAACAATTTTGTGCTTCCCATAATTTAAAATGAGATTGAAGAAGACAGGTGGGATTGACCTGTCCAACAGCAATCTACTTTTAGTTAAGTGTGACAGAGCATTGATTTTGGTTCTCTAATCATTTCTTGCTGAAAGAAAACCCTCTGCCCCTTTATAAATAATACTAGTTTGTTAAAAACCTTTTTTTGAAGCCAATCCACAGTAACAGCAATTGATTCAAGACTTTGCATAGCTTGACTTTGACTTTACTATGCCAGTTGGTTTAACATAAGCCTGCAGTTTTCTGTTTTGTAGTGCTTTGAAAATTGCATAACATGGAAGTCAAATATTTCTTTCAAAGTGTGATTTGTGTATAAAATATTATGTCTGCCTATTGCTGTAGTGTGTCTAACAAAGTGTTCTCTTATTTTCAGTCCCCCAGTGTTACAATGACAACGTTTCTTCAGGCTCTTTCACTTGCAGTAGACAAACAATTCGAAGAAAGAAAGAAACTTGCAGACTGTGTGTGATACTCTGCTGTTTTGTAGTTGTCTGTACGGTTAACACTGAAAACTACGTTTCATCCAAACGGTGCAACTTCTATACATCTTTAAAATAGATTGTCAACACCTTAAAAAACCTGGAATGCCTGATCTTGTTTTGCAAAACATTTGTTAATAAACAATTGAGAAATTTTACAGCATATTTTTCAAAAGCTTTATTTCAAATACCAATAAGAGGATTGTAAGAACTTCTTGTTAAAAGTCAGTTTTCATCTTTTGCAGTT